CCGGGGGAAAAGGCCCCCCCCCCAAATTTTTTTCCCAGGTTAGGGAGGGGGGGGGTTTTTTTTTGAAACCCCCCCCCCCCCCCCCCCCCCCCCTCTGCTCTTTCGTTTCCCTATTAAGGAACTACCAAGGGAGCCCTTCCCTTCAGAGGGTCTCATTGCCCATGTGGCCTGCCATGTGCTCTTCACGGTTACGCGCCCCTCCAATGTCTGTCTGCCAGGTGCCTTGTAACGTGAGATCTCCGTCATGAGACAGAGAGACATAGGTATGTATGTGTGTGGCAAATACAGACATCAATTCCTTAAAGAAGATTACGGGGCGTAGAGATAGAATAGAATCCCACTTGCCCTCCCTGTCATGTATTGCTCAACAGGTTCCCAACTGTCATGCCCGCATCTCCCTCTCTGTCCGAAAGGTCAATGCCTCAGCCAGCCAACCTACCTGCCCCCCCAAAGGAACAGGCAAGTTCCTGGAGTGCCCGTCCGTATGTGTATCGCATGCCCCCATGTGCCATCGAGAACCAACGGGGTATAATAACGAGGAATCCGCGCCCATATAACGTCCCTTTCCTCTCCAACACTCATGATTTGGGAGACCACCCGATCGTGGCGCGGATTTCCAGCGAATCCTCAAAGGACAGACGTGCAAGCTGCCACGCGTGATATAGCAGATGCAAAAAGAGAGAGAGAGAGAGAGAGAAAGGAAAACTTAATGTGAAGAAATATAGAGATCAACACCCAGAAGCACCCGCAAATCCAGAATGATAGCAAAAAGAAAATGACAATTCAAATAGTCCTGTATATCCCAATCAAAGCTTAGATGCTAGCCTCATCGGTGCCGCTGTCCTCAGCCAATGCCGTAAAACGCCTATATCCCCCATGACGGGCTGGGAGGATGCTTTCGCGCCGCTCGTGTCAGTGGCTCGTCAAACCCTTCTTCTGCGCTTCTTCTTACCGTTCGGGGGCGCCTCTTCTGCCTCGTCATCGCTGCTGTCATGGCCCCGCCCGCCGCCTGCCTTGTCGTTGCCCTTCTTGATCGAGATGAGGCAACCCTGCTCCTTGAGCCTGCGCGTCAACAGCGTGCTAGGCTTCATGCCAGGGAAGTCCTTGGCGCTGTAGACTGTGAAAACATCCGTCATCGCCGATGAGTGGATCTTTGAGCTTTTCCCCATCTTTCCCTGGGCTGGGTTGAGCACCACGATGGAGAACTTGAGACGGTACTCTCCGCTCGTCCGGACAGACAGGTCTGAGAATGGAAAGAAGCATCCCTCGACGCCATTCTCATCTTTGCCAACAAAAGAGCTCGCCGCGAGACTTCCCATGAGACGTCGCTGCTGGCGATGATACTCCTCGGGCATGATGGAGCAGTCCTCGGTCCCGTCCTTGCTCCAGATGGTGCAGTGCACGACATAGTACTGATGGCGGTAACGCTGGCTAATGTCTTCTTTGGAGAGCTTGGGGTTGTTGATTTCCAACTGCACAATGGGTGGCGGGTCGATCACCCTGCGGTCTCTCTCTCCAAAGCCACATGATCTCGCCGCTATGGGTTGCTGCCGTATAAATATCTTGTACTCATCCTTGAGCGTTGGGTCTGGTTCAGGGACAGGACGTGGGGCTGCAGCGCAGGTCGAACATCATTGCCGGCCAACTGTGATGCCATGACCCTCTCTGTGTTGGTACACGTCTACTGCCT